TCAAACTTTAAGATAAGAATCTACGTACATACATTATTAGGTGAAGACGCTGTAGAGCATGGGAGGCAGCAGTTGTATGTTTAAATGTAGGAAAAAAAACACATTAAAGACTATCAACTGACTGTCTGAACTGTTGAAGAATTGTTGTTGGCTTTTTGGCCTGAAATCAAAATTTCTATTATGGCTTCAGAACCGCATTCTCCAACTTGTAGCCGCAGTCTTTAGGAAAACTAATTTTTATCGCTTGCTGCTTCAGTGTGCCTTTGGAAAACTGTTATGGTATAGAGTTTTGCATTCAAAACCCAGAATCATTTTTCGAAATCTTTTTATTTGGACCGAAATGTTCCCAAAGGTTACACATACATTTCAGCCACATGGCACACATGTAAAATTGTTTTTTTTTTGTTTTTTTTTTTTGTTTTTTTTTGTTCTTTTTTTATGCCAGATCTGAAATAGATGGAGTCACAGCGGCAATGAGCGCAGATTTCAGAAACTAAAAGTAGTTTCGAAAATCCTAAAACTAGTTCTTCGCCTTCTGCGAGGTGCGACTGTTAAGTTCGCGGCTTGAAATAATTTTTGAAACAAATTTAAAGTTTTATGTTTTTTTTTTACAATATAGCCATCCTCAAGTGAAATACACCCTTCACACCGCGAATAAAATATTCTTTGGATTCATCTTCAAACTGGCCTTCTACGACAGCTTTCATCTCACTGTTATTTAAAAATCTTCGTCCTCGTAATTCGTTTTTTAAATTAGGTAAAAGCAAAAAGTCACTGGGAACCAGGTCCAAACTGCAAACTATAGACCAGATGGCCAATTTATGTAAGTCCAGTAGCTACTAAGGGATCCCTGACAACCCGAAAGGTATGAATCGATGCGTTGTCTTGAAGAAACAGCTCGCCGGGTGCTTACTTGCCACGCCTCTTTTGTACGACTGTTTCACGCGTCTGATGCAACAATTTAGCGTAATACTGACCTTTCATTGCAGTTCCCTTCCATAAATGATATGCCCTCGCTAGAGCAGAAAATGGTACCTATAATCATCGACGTCAACTTTGAATTTTTTTTTTTTGGTGACCTTTTCCACTGCAACGACGCCTGCGGTACCTAACGCGCACCAATTTTTTTGAAGTTCAAAATGAGAAATGTTTATCATCATTATTATTACCCGAAAGAACATTCTTTGACATTTATTTTTTGAAGATTTTCTCTTTCAAATGTTGGCCGCGGCCACGTTTCAGATGGTTCATCCATTTTTCGATGAATCGTACGAGTATTTCGACTGGTAATTGGCGAATGACAAGCGTGATCTTTTGCTCCATGGCGGGTGACCAATCGACCGAACCCAACCGTGAAATTATCTCTTACCGAAGTGTACTCGCCATTTATCTAGTTGAAACCAAATGCCGCCGAGATCACGAGCTTCAATTTCAGGAATCAAATAGTCGGTTATCATTATGTCGCAATAGGAGCGGCCAATGACCGTTACGTTCTCACCGGCATTATTTTTGAAGAAATATGTACCGATGATTCTAACGGTTTTTTTTCTGGATAAAATTGCAGCTCTTGAATCTCTTCAGGTTGTTCTTCGTCCCGAATGCGGCAATTTTGTCTTCTTCAACTTTTAGTCATATTTTTGTAGTTTTCTTTGCATGCGATTCGCTTTAACTCGCCTATAAACGGATGCCTGAGCTGCTTATACAATATGCAAAAGAATCATTTCTTGCCACTCCTAGGTGAATGACAGTCAAAAACATTCCTCACTTGCGTGATGCCCTATCATGTAACTTCTTCAATTTATGGTTGGAAAATATTATATGTAAGTGCTGCAGAACTGAATAGGGAAGGTACAATCTGCTATAAGAGTGTACATCTGCTGGCGTGACGGGTCTGGTGGTTAACGAAGGCAAGACAAAATATCTCCTGTCATCAAACAAACAGTCATCGCATTCATGACTTGCCTACCACATCACCGTTTGCAGTCATAACTTTGAAGACGTAGATAACTTCGACTATCTAGGAACAAGCAGAAACACCAACAACAAAGACAGCCTTGATACCCAACGCAACGTCATTCCTGCCAACAGGTGCTACTTTGGACTGAGTAGGCAATTGAAAAGTAAAGTACTTTCTCAACGAACGAAAACTAAACTCTACAAGCCACTTTTCATTTCCGTCCTGCTTTTTGGTGCGAAGGCATGGACGATGACCACATCTCGTTAGGCGGCGTTAGGAGTTTCGAGAGAAAGGTTTTGCGTAAGATTTATAGTCTTCTACTAGTCGTGAATGGCAAATGGCGAATACCGCAGACGATAGAACGATGGACTGTATGAGCTATCCAGCGATATTGACATAGCTCTGCGAATCAAGAAGCAGCGGCAACGTTGGCGAGGTCATGTAGTCCGGTTGGATATGAACACTCCAGCTTTGAAAGTTTTCGCTGTAGTACGCGCCGGTGAAGGCAGAGGATGGGGAAGTCCTTCACTATGTTGGAATGATCAAGTGGAGGGAGAGCGAAAAAAGAAATGAATGGCGTAATGTTATAAATTTCGCTGTTATCGCGTAATTCTTGTCTACACCCCAAACAGATTGGTTTGATTAGCGGGTGAACTTCGTAGAGATTCTCAGTGGTATCAAAATGGGCCTGTTTGGGGCCTAGGTGAGCTGAAGGACTCTAAAGGGATAACCAAATTATTCAACTTACTTTGTTGCCTAATTTGTCAGTTCATCCTCCCTTTCTTTAGCCTTAAAAACCTTTAACTGAAATTAAAAAAAAAATGTTTTGCTTTTATTCCTTGATACAAATGCAACAAAAAACGACCATTTTTTTTTTGTAATTCATTCATAAAAATTTTATTATACTTTTTATATTGTTTTTATATATGATTTATTTTCCATATTTTTTTGTGTTTATTGTTGTTTTTGTTTTTTTTTGTGAAATTCTTTTCCTCGCTAACGACTAAATAATTTCAATATTATTTTTTGTATATTAATTTAATTTTTATACTAAATCTTAAGTACAATAACTACAATTCTTTAGAACTAATTATACAAATTACACACTAATATGGTATATAAATATATGTATATATATATTATATATTTCAATGTATACATATTTAAATGAAATACATACATAAGTGACATGGAGTAATAGTAAGTGGCTTTTCATATTTTTTTATTAATTACATTTATGCTACTATTTACATATTTGCAATGTTTTCATGAACTTGGTATTTTCTGCTGCTTGCATTGACTAACACAGTTTTTTTTTTTAATTATTAGAGAGGTTTTTTTATTCTTGTGTATTTTCATAATAATTTTTACGCAATTGAATTTTCGCTGATTTTTTACTACAAAATAAATGGGAGCAACGCTGCTGCTCGTTCAACGATTTTTTAAGTGGTCAATTATTTAAAAAAAAAAAAATTAAAGTTAAACTAAAAAATAAAAAACAAAATGAGTAGCAAATAATAATAATAATTGGAAAATTAATATAAATAAAAGAAATAATAAAGAAAAAATATAATAAAATTAAACTGAAAGAATAATAAAAAATAAAAAAACATAAAAAAATATTCAAATAAAAATAAAAAAAAATTCTGAAAAATTGCTTAAATGAAAATGTAATAAAAAATAAAAAAAAACTTAATGGATTTTGCTATGAAATGAAATGTGTTTAACTAAAAGTTAGAAAAAAAAAACAGCTGCAAATAATAAAAAAATTAAAAAAGTAATACAAAACAAATGAGAAAGTAACCACAAATAAAGGTATAAAAAGTATGAGTTTCCAAAGACAAAAAAAGTCAAACATATTTTATTAACTTTGAAAAGGTTTTGTTTATAAATTTCTATTTTGGTTTAATTTTTTTCTTTTTTTCATTTGAAATACCAAGTGAAAATATTTTATTGCAATTTTAGTTAAATATTTTAAAATGTTTGCTAAATAAAATAAAGAAAAAGAAAAAAAAAACAACGAGAGCATGACTGTGTGAGTCTTCGTTTTGGTGGATAATTATGGACTCTTTTAACAATTACAAACTCTATATGCATTTGTGTTGTTGCAGTCATTTTAATTATGTACATTTTTCATTGTTTACTATGTGCTGCGCTTGCCTTAAAACATCAATAAAATACATATATATTGTAAATTATTTCTATTTTTGTCTTTTTATTTAATATTTTACGTTTTATATATATTTTAATCTTACGCTTCACAAATTCGTTAAAAACTAACGAGGAACCATTTTGCCTTTTCATATTTCATTTTCACTTCAATTGCGTTTTTCACACACTTTTCTATACATTTTTTTTTTTTTTTTTTTGTTACATAAACTACATAATCGTATTTTTATTCATTTTTATTTTACATTTGTGTTTTCTTGCACAAGTTTCGGGTTGAGTTAGTCGGAGGCGTCAAGCTGCTTGCTGTGTGTACATTTTTGCGAATTACAAAGAAAAAGTGATTTTTTTTTTCTTTTTTTTAAATATTTTTTGGAATACTTTACTGACCAAAAAGTGAAAATTCCGAAACTATTTCGCTGAAATTTTGCATGCGTCACAACATTTGTGTGCATTTGTGTGAGATACAAACCCATTTCATGCTGTTGCCAATTTGATAGAAAAAAAGGGAAATTTGTAAAAAATATTTTTAAATCATTTTTTTTTTTTAATTTTTACAGAAAAAGTGTACCTATACATCACCTCCCTCTACAATGTAATGCTTTGCAATCACGAAAAATTGCAGCGGCGCTTAAAATTTGAGATCATTACTAGAAATTAGCAACTTTTTTTTACAACTGTGTGCTGTGCTAGCAAACAAAAAAAAAAAATTAAAAAAAAAAAAAAAAATTAAAAAATAAAATAAAATTAAGTTTAAAAAATAATAACACATGGTTTGTTTTTTTATGTTTTTTTTTTCTTGTTTTGTTTCATTGACATATCATACTATTTTGCTGCGTTATTTCAGTTTGTGGCGCATCATAAGATTTTCATACAATTTACTTGCTACTATTTGCTAGTCTTGCCATAGAACAGATCATAGTTATACATTACATTTTGTGAGTATATATGCACACATACATAAATACATATAAATATATATATGTGGTGGTTTGCACTTAACTTGCACAATACATGCTTTTTTTTAAATTGAAATATTTTATTTATTTATGTTTTTTTTTTGCATTTATTTCACAATTAATTACTTTAGATTTTACAGAATTTCGCTACGAGTTGTTTCGAAATAAAGAAATAATTTTTTGTTTTATCCTGCTGTGGTTGTACATTTTTATTCTTTTTTTTTACTTAATAGACTGCTGTGCGAAGAAGTTCAAACATTTCATTCTCATACAATTTGTGCTTACAAATTAATAAATTCAATACATTGTTACGGTAAATTTTGTTTAGATTATTTATGTATATGTGTGGATTTGCTATTGTATGTGTGTGTGTGTGTGCTTTCCAATTCAAATTTGTGCTTTGTCGCTTGTGAAGCGCTCAATTGCAACGCTCAAAATGCAATACGCATTGTATGTATGTATGTGTGTCGGCGGTCTGTGTGCGCGTTAACATTTCGTTAAAATTGTATTGAACTCAATTTCATGCCACATTTGTTGTAAAGAAGTTATGTAAACTTTTTTTCAAAAACTAATTGTATTATGAAAAGTGTAACACACAATTTTTTTTCTTAATTTTTTTGTTTTTGTAATTCAGTTTTATTTATACAAGATAGGCCAAAATGTCAAAAGTAAATGCAATTTTTTTATTTATTTTTTTTTTTTTGAACTTTTTAGATTTCGTTGTTCTTTATTTACTCGATTTCTAATAGTTTAACTAAATATGTATGCATGTATATAAATAAAAATAGCGTAGATAGATAAGTTTTTTAATTTTTAGGAATAAGTGGCATCACTAATAACTTTTTTCATTTTTTTTTTCGTTATTATTATTATAGTATAGTTTTGTCTTCACTTTTATAGGTGTCTAATTTTAATTTATTGGTTTGTTTGTTTTGCTTTTGTATACTACTTACTTAAGACAAAATTTATACTAAAGTGGCATACAAATATGTAAAAAAAAAATTTATAAATAAATGTAACTAATTAGCTAGAGTGCGTTAGATAGGTGTGTGTGTGTGTGTGTGCGTGTTTTGTAAGGCCAAAAAACGTAGTCTCAAAGTTTTGCAGTGGAAAAATAAAAAAAAAAATTTTAAATATATTTTAAGAAATATTTATAAAAAAAAAGGAGAATAAAAATATTTTTTTTTTTTTTGTAATGGATAGCTTAAAATAGTCAATTTAATAGCAAAGTTAGAGTTAAATGCAACTTTCTTTCTATACTTACAAAGTAACATTCAAACACTCAGCGTTAATATGTTTTTGAGTTCAAATTAGCGCCGTGTGTCTATAAAATTTAAATACCGTAAGCATATTTGTGTTACCAAACGCTAAATTATTATCTTTTTCAAAATAAATAATTTTTTTTTTCTAAACAAATAATTTGTTTTTAATTTTTTATTTGTTCAAATCTTTTTGTTTTTTACTTAAGATTTTTAGTACAAAACTTCAATTTCGAAAACTAGTTGCTTTGTATATTTTTTTTTTATTTTTCGTCTTCAGAAAATTATAATTTGGCGCCCATTTCTTGCCCTTACAAAAACTACAAACACCTTTAAAATAAATTGAAAAATTGAGAATTTTTTTTTTGTTGTTAATAAACTAACATTTATGCAGAGTCGAAAGTGTCTAATCTAAGACTAATATATACAGGTCATTCATTTCTTTTCTTTGTCTAATTCAAAAACTTTATAAGCACAAAATATTATTATTATTATTTTTTTTGTTTTTTTAAATATGCAAAGAAATTTGAAAATTTTTATATTTACAAAATATCGAAAAATGGCATTTTTAGTGCTTTTCAAATATTACATAAAAAATATATATAAAAAATATATTTATTTTCGAAACACTTGGATTTCGTTTTCAAACGCATGCAAAAATTAAAAAAGTCAAGTTTACAAGCATTTTTGTCTTTTTGTTTTCGTTTAAGGTTCATTAGAGCGGCTTTGTCATTTTTAAGTGTGTGTGTGTTTTTTTTTTTTAATTACTAATTCGTTAATGCATCAAAGATCGTCACAGCAATCAGCGCACTCCAACCGGAAAAATATCAAAGTAAAAAAAAAAAAAATATATATATATATTATTTAAACTGTTTGCAATTACTAAGCTTTTTTCTTGGTTAAATGCGAAAATCTTCTATTAAACATAATCGAAATCGTACTTAGAATCTGTGTTTTTCTTAATGTTTTTCTTCTCTTCTTGTGTGGCTGCGTCATATAAAAAAATACTCGTCGTTTGCTAATTGCGGAATGCGTCAATTGTATGTTTTCGCTTAGTAAATATTACAATTTAGTAAGTTAATTAAACAATTAAAAAAAAAATTTCATAACACTAAGGTCGTTCTTTCTCCTCCCGTAAATTCTACATATGCACACACGTACATGGAAATTTAATTAAAAGAAAATTATAAAAAAAATCTTCACGTCTTCCGATTCGTACACGATCTCGCGCGTTCATTCGCACAAGTAAATGTCTTAAGTCTAGTCTAATTAATTTTAAATAATTTATACGGCTTTTTACAATAAATTCCTTATTAACGTCAGTCCATTTCATCAGCGAAAATTTACAAAATTATAAGTTATTTATATATATATATATATATATATATGTATGTAGTTGAAAAGGTAGCAGCACAATTTTGCCTAAAAATACTTGCTTATACGCGTATTAGCATAAAAATTGTAAATTAAAATTGAAATGAATTTAAAAAAAAAAACGCGTGTGGTTTTCTCTTGAGAAATTTCGCAGCAAATATACAGCGGCTCGTTAAGCTCACTCACTAAGCGTGCCCCCACCAGCGCGCCACAAATGCACGCACGCGTAGCCTACCGCGCGCGCCCATCTCAGTTGACGCCACAGCCAAAAACTGCTCACCAGCGCGGCAGCCGCGCGTCGCTCACATATGCGGCGTGCCACACATCACGGCGCGCACCTGTTGTTGCTGCTGATGCGCTGCGGACGCTGCCGCTGAACTACTCCCCGCCGCCGCCGCCGCTGCTGCTGCAGAGGCAGCCAGCATTTGTGACGCGCAACCACCAGTCACACCTGCTGCCGCCGATGATGGCCACCGTTGACTGCAATAGGCGTTCTCGCCCAACACCGATATGCGTTTACCTTCGCCGGCGCTGTTGCCATGTATGGCATATTCTTTGGTTGCACCACCACCGCCACCAACAGCGCCATTAGCGCCACCCACTACGCCGTTCATGCCGGCACCACCACCAACACCACCATTGCCAGCGACAGCAGTAGCGCTAACACCAGCTACGGCGCTTGCGGCGCTATGCAGGAGTTGTGAGGCACGATGCATGAGGGTGGGGTCTGTGTTGAGTTGCTTTTGTGATTTGGCGCGTTGCAGTGGCGCTATTTGACCGACACCGCAATATTCAGAGTTGGCGTTGTTATCTGCTGCATAGTTAGCCAGCGCACTGCCGTAGAGTGATGTGTTGAGACAGTCGTCTGTGCTCGCCGAGGCCGAAATGTTATTCACCGATTTGTCCCATGTATTTTTGATAATGTTAGGATTCGAATTGTCGAATGTGAGGCCAGAGGAGGAAGTACGTTTCACACCCAAGCCAACACCACCGACCACTCCGCTCATAACACCCATGCCACCGCCAACGTTCGCGTTGTGATGTAATGTCGCCACCGCGTTCTGTTCGTTTTGTTTGCGCGCCTCGGCATCATCCTTCTCCTGCGCACGCTTTCGTTTACGTTTCATGCAAACCACAACGCATGCTGCGATCACAGCCACCACAGGCATTGCCACCGATAGGATTGCAATCAGAAAAACTTGTCCGCTTGTCAAACCATCGCTGCGTGGCTGCGGTGTTGCCTGATATGGACGCGCATTGTATGAAGCCGATGTAAAGGACTCCTCCTCACACTGTTTGCCGTGATAGTTGTTGGCGCAAACGCAGTGGAAACTATTGACGCGATTAACACAGGTGCCACCGTTGCGGCAGGGCGCTGACATGCATTCGTCAATGTCAATCGAACAGTCCTTACCAGTGAAGCCGGCACGACATGTACATTTGTAGTCGTTGTTGAGGTTCGTGCAGGTGCCGCCATTCGCGCACGGCTTTGTCAAGCACAAGTCGACCTTATCCGAGCACAATGAGCCCAAGTAGCCAGGTACGCATTGACAACGAAATTGATTGATCATATCGATACAGGTGCCGCCATTATGACAGGGATTGCCCTGACAGTCATCGATGTTCTGTTCACACATGCTGCCGGTAAAACCGCTGCGGCACTGGCAATTATGATTGCCGAATGAGGTCATAAAACAGCTACCACCATTCTGGCAGGGATTCGGATTACAGTTATCCACATGCAGCTCACAGATCCGTCCACTATAACCGCTCGGGCAGTCACACTGAAATCCCTTTGTGGTGTTGCGACAGCTGCCATGACGACAAGGTTTATCCAAACACGTTATCACTCTTTCTTCGCACAACGGACCACCCCAGTCTTTGAGACACTGGCATTTGTAGCCACGACTAGAGGCGTCATCAACACAAGCGCCGCCATTTTGACAGGGATTACCTTCTTTACAGGAAGTTATTTCATTTTGGCATTCAGTACCGGTGAAGTTCGGTGGGCATTTGCAGGTGTATAAATCGGGTCCAGTGTTGAAACAGGTGCCGCCGTTCTGGCAGGGACGATGATTTGTGCAGTAGTTTAAATCCTGATTGCAGAGTAGACCACCCCAGCCTTCTTTACAGATGCATTTCCATGGTTTGTTGCATGTGCCATGTACGCAGCCCGGGTAGGGCTCGCATTCGTTGCAGAGAGGTCCCTTCCAACCGGTTTGACAACTGTAAAGAGAGATCGAGAGAAATGAAGAGATGGTTAATAAAGAAATGGAAAATGCATTTGACTTAGCTAAATGAGTAATAGTTAAGAAAAGATGGGTGTTTTGGACAGAAGAGACTAGCGCTGAGATATTGGTTCGCGTATTAGATATATAGGGAAACTAACGGTGTCTATTATGGTTCAAAAGAGCACAGTTATCTGTTTAAACACTGCAATTTACACATCGCTTACTTAAAACAAGTTGAGCATATCAAAATAATTGCAGGCAGGAAAGTGGGACTAAAAACAATTCAAATATCGATCAAACCCACTGCCGCTGCGCAGGCTCGCGTATTTTAAAAATTCTGGCACGTACGCGGCAAACATGTTGCTGCATTTAATTTTCATTCATGCAACAACAGGAAAACAAACAAAAAATAAAAAATAAAAATAAATAAAATGCAGAAGCGAGTGAAGTAAAGAAAGGCACAGCAGTTGCAGGACTGCAATTGGTGGACCGCAGTGAATTGAAGGGATTTGTTTGACCAGACACGAAACGTAATGGATAAATGGAATGACAAAATAAAAAATAAAAGCAAGAATGCGCCTGCAATTTTCGGCCACTTCTCGGTGACCGCTTTTTATTTCACTCGAGAACATTTTGATTTCGATCTCTTTTTCTTTGCATTCCTTCAAATCCAAGCGATCATTGATCGCCGCCTCTTTCTTTGGCCGGTTTTATTGCAGCTCCGCGTCGTCGTCATTATTGTCATTATTAAATTAAATGACTTTTTTTATATTTATTTTTACAACTTATGCTTATCCTTTATGAGCGCAGACCCTTTCACAACAACAGAATGCACATAAAACAAAACAGTACTGCGCGAACAGCGCTTCCTCTTTGAAGCGAAAATAGCTCGGTACGTCGAAGGTAGGTGAGAGGAGGTAGACAAAATTTAAAAGAGACAAGTGTGTGGAGCTCTTACTTGGCGATGCGTTGACTCAGCCAGTGAGCATGTAAGTAAGTTATTGTCTTTAAGAACGCAAAAGTGCGCGCGCGGAGGCGGTCGCTTGCGTTGTATATGCGTATTTACCATGCATGTGCTTATTGGCCGTGAGAAATAATTTGCAAAAATGGTCACACACCATAAACACACACACACACACACACACACACACACACGAAAAATGGACGGACGGATGGATGGATGGATGGATGGATGGATGGACAAAGTGCGAAAGACATACAAAGACAACAAGCAAGAAATCGAAGTACCAGTCTTCATACAACGGATGAAGTGGAGAAGACAAAACGCAGGTGCAACGTAAATAAAACAACAAGAGATCGGCACACATGACCACGCATACCTATGTACATACACGCGCAGTGAGATGATGCACCAGCACTAGGACAAGAAACGCAAAAACCTAGGCCCAGTTACGCTTTTAGAAACGTACGTCTTCTAGCTACGTACATACATTACATCTAACAACACTTAATACACTTTGGAGTGGCGCAGAAAACTGCTGTTGCGATCAAGCAAAAGATCGCCATGATCGCCGGCTGAGTTGACTTAGCCGCCTATACCGAGTCACATCTCGCCAAATGGCTAACTACAAGTGGAGTCATTTACTTAGATTATTTATATTTTTCGTGCTCTTCCTCTTGCGCTACTTCTACTACAACTTTTTATTACAGCCACCCGCTGCAGTTAGCTGAATAAGTGTGCCTTTCTGGTTACAAGCAATGACTGGCAGTCAGTCAGTCAGTCAGTCAGACCGTCCAAGCAAGTCAGTGTATTTTTGCGGCTGTCACTCAGCCAACGACCAAGCGCGCAGTGGCAATGACGACGAAGAAGAGTTCGATGCCAAGTCTCTTGCTGGTCAAGCTGGTTGCTTGTGCAGCAGCAAAGTCGATTCGTTGCTGGTGATCGCACAGATCTTCAGCGCTGATCATGCACTAACAACACACCTTTTATGTATGGATATGTAGCGATTGGCGCTCACCAGTGTTGGTGTGCTTTGTTGGAGACACTTTTACGGAAAAAAACATGCATATATAAATACACATATGCATATACATACGTGTATATAATATATTTATTTAAGTTGCTGTTATGCTTGCTGTTTGATTTGCGACTGACAGACGTGAGCCCGTTTGTCATTTAGGTACTTTTGTTGTATTTTGTTTTGATGATGTGGCAGTGCTTTCTTTGAGGATTGTCTTCAACATAATTTATTCATTAAAAAGAAAAAAATATATATGTATATATAATGTAAGATAGGCATTTTTGAGCATATATAAAAAAAATTTAGAGTAGAAAAAAAAAAAATAATAAAAGGCGCTAACAAAATGTCAAAATAGGTGTAGTAATAGGTAGTAGTAAAATTGTAAAAAGTAATAAATTATAGTGTTTCAAATATTCAAAAAACAGGAAAATCAAAAAAAAAAAAAAAAAAAATTAAACAACTAAAAAAAATCAAAAACTAAATCAATTATTAAAAATTAATTATGGTTTTTGATAACCAAATAAAAAATAACCAAAAAAAATAAAAATAGTATTAGACTAAAAGAGTAGTAGAAAGACAAAAGTGGTAAAAATTATAAAACTAAGCAAACAGATATAATAAAAAGTATTAAAAAATAAAATTAGTAGTAGATCAAAAGAGTAGTAGACAGCAAAGTTGGTAGAAATTTTAAGACACAGCAAAAAAATATAATAAAAAGTATTAGATACTAAAATTAGTAGTAGATCAAAAGAGTAGTAGAAACACCAAAGTGGTAAAAATTATAAAACAAAGCAAACAATATTAAAAATATAATAAAATGTTTTGAATCTTAAATTAGTAGTAAATGAAAAAAAGTAATAGAAAGACAAAAGTGGAAAAAATTATAAAACAATGTAAAAAATGGGATTTCTTTTCACTCCGACATGTGCGAGTCGACCAAAAAACCACACCAGTATCGAGACTTGACCCACACACGAAGAGATTGCGAAATTTTATATTGATACCGAAAAAAATGCAATTTAGGCTACAATTTCCCTAGCTTAAACAAAAGCGAAACGTTTGCCAAGCGTGAAGCATACCCAGCCATGGTAATGCAATATATAATAGCAAATGAATGTCAAAAATCTTCAACGACAACAATTTGGAAAGCATTGCAAATAGATTTGTTAGCAATGTGGCGCGCAACAAATTGTAATTAAAAGCACACACACATACAAATAAATGTGTGTATATGACATTTGCCGTACTTTCAAACAGCAAATGGGTATGCATGCGCAACAACTCTGGATGACAGACAACAACTATGTGTGTATGTGTGTGTCTGTACAAGCAGCTGGAGTGCTCATTAAGCCTCTTTATACACACACTTACACACTTACAGTAAATACAATGTTGACTATTTCATTATTGTTGGCTACACTCCACTCCAGTTATGATAGTCAGCTAACAACAATAATAACATCACCGTCAAGTGCCAAGCATAACAAGCTACTTCATTAAAATCAATTTTAATTTCAAAAGTGCCAAAGAGCGAAAGAAATCCAAAAACGTATTGTAAATAAAGTGAGCTGAATTTTTATGGACGTTAACGGGAAAGGGGAATGTAGTGGAATGAATATATAATTTGAATGAATACAAAAATACATAAATAAATAAGCAAATTGTGGCCGCTAGCTGTAGAGCAAGCGCAGTGAAACATGCGCACTTGAAAATCCAACAAGGAGCGACGATTCAGTTTTCAAGAACTGACTTCTGCCCAACTTCCAGAGCAACTACCAGACCAGCACACCGACTGAGTAGATTTTAATAACAGAAATACAAACAGCGCCTTTTTATTTGTACAACGACAATGAGTAGGCTATTTTTATTTTCCACCGGTAACTGCTGGATGATGAGCCCTAAAAGAAAGCCGCGACCGAATATAGCTATACATACATATATATATAAATATATATATATGTGCTTAAGACGAGTCGCCCGTCACTTGCAATCTGCATGAAGTTTTCTCACTTCACTGACTCCAGAACAACCGATGCCGATGAGTAAGTAAATCAATGAAAATGCAAATAAATCAACTCAACCGTTTTCCCTCGGAGCTGCAGAGACAGAGACAGGCTCGCAGCAAAGGGCTATCGTCAGCAAGCGGAAAAAATTGCCAGCGCACAATTGGATGGGGTATTTGCAGAAGACAAAAGCAAACCAAAGATTGTTTGCGAGACGTCAGCCAGCGGTAGAAGTCATAAGACGGATCACCTGTTTCGCAGATAATCAGCAGCGAAAAAAGGTTGCAATAAAAGCGAAGGCAATGTTGTTGTTGCAACATGCAAATAATTTCGCAGCTGTACAGAGTACACAGGCAATGCAGGCAGGAGTGGAAGATGTGTCAGCAATCAGCAAGTGGACAGTTTCACTGTCACGCAACGCAGCGCGAGGGAGAGTAATGAGTGAATGGCTTGGCTTGCTAGTGCGCTGACTGTTTCTTGGCTCGCGGACTGCCTGACTGACTGCGCGTCAGAATAACTATGTGCAAGTGCAAGCGGCGGACAAGCGTAAATTGGTATGACATGCAGCTGAAATGGTAGACGCATGATAGCAAGCGGCGGCAGGTTGGCATAGAGTGGCAAATCAGTTTTTAGCATAAAGCCTTTGTGCCAGGCTCTACGTTTAACGTATGAAAATGACATAAATACAATAGAAATATTTCAAGTCTGAAAATATGTTGAAACTTAGAGTTGGAAAAGAAAAAATTAATTTAAATTAGGAAAAAAGTAATTTATAAAAAAAATAAAAAAAAAACTAAATATAAAAAGAAAATAAAATCAATTAAAAAAAAATTATAAGATAATTAAACAAAATAATAATAAAAAAACTAAAAACTAATAATAAAAATAATATTTAAAAGAAAATAAAATTAATAATAAAATTAAAATTAAGAAAAAAATATAAATAAATATAAATTAACTAAAAAATAATTAAAAAAAATATCAAAAACTTTATTAAAAAGGAATTAAAC